ACTGGGGGGGGGACATGGTGTGCGTGACAATAGGCCGTGACCTTACTGGGGGGGGGGGACATGGTGTGCGTGACAATAGGCCGTGACCTTACTGGGGGGGGGACATGGTGTGCGTGACAATAGGCCGTGACCTTACTGGGGGGGGGACATGGTGTGCGTGACAATAGGCCGTGACCTTACTGGGGGGGGGGCATGGTGTGCGTGACAATAGGCCGTGACCTTACTGAAGGGGGGGGGGGACATGGTGTGCGTGACAATAGGCCGTGACCTTACTGGGGGGGGGACATGGTGTGCGTGACAATAGGCCGTGACCTTACTGGGGGGGGGACATGGTGTGCGTGACAATAGGTCGTGACCTTACTGGGGGGGGGGCATGGTGTGCGTGACAATAGGTCGTGACCTTACTGGGGGGGGGACATGGTGTGCGTGACAATAGGCCGTGACCTTACTGAAGGGGGGGGGACATGGTGTGCGTGACAATAGGCCGTGACCTTACTGAAGGGGGGGGGGGGACACCAGCCGCCTTGGTCTAGACTCTAGCTTCTCCTGGGGCCAGATTCACGAAGCAGTTACGCAAGTATTTACGAACGTGTACATCTTTCCTGGATCTTTGACGGCTTTAGTTATATTTATTAGAGAGTTTATAAGCATGAAAACTTGCCAATCAACTGTTGTTTTTGTGTTAAACAGCCTCCTGGTGCTCCGGAGCTCATTAACTGTTTAATAATTGTAAACAAAGCCGCCAAAGATTGAGAAAAGATGTGCAGGTTCGTAAGTGCTTTCGTGAATCTAGCCCCAAGCCTTCACCTGCGTGCTGGCCTTGTGGCGCCTCCGGTCTTGGCCGCTAAGCAACTGGGTTCTCGCGTTCCAGTCCGGTGCTGGATATCCTCCGGTACTCTTCATACTCTAGGGTCGGCCACAGCTCGGCCCAGCATGGTCTGTGAAGGGTGAGGGTCGGTCACAGCTCGGCCCAGCATGGTCTGTGAAGGGTGAGGGTCGGTCACAGCTCGGCCCAGCATGGTCTGTGAAGGGTGAGGGTCGGTCACAGCTCGGCCCAGCATGGCCTGTGAAGGGTGAGGGTCGGCCACAGCTCGGCCCAGCATAACCTTCGGATGAGTTAGACTCCGGGTTTTACTTAAAATTTTTCCTTTCTCCGCAAATTTAATTAAAACCTGAAATGCGGCAAAATTCGCCGTTTTATAATTCTCTTCAAAGCGTTATGCTGAGAGCAGCGTGTTAATGGAATGTCTTACAGTAACACATCGCTTGAAGTTAATTAAAAGAAGTTAGGAACCCCATAAACATGTTAGGAATATTCTTGAAGTTATTCATCCTGATGTGGATTACCTTTTAGCTGGGATAAAAGCAGGTCAAGACTGATGTGTGGTGTAGGTAACAAGTTGCCACAGGTCCGTTCGGCTGGGGCCCGGTGTTGCCAGGGCGCTCAAGGTTGTGGGTAAAGTTGCACTCCTGTTTACACCTTCTGCTCCAACTTTTCTTTTGAGGGCCTCTTGCTCTCTCTCATCTCTCTCCCCTATCTCCTCTCTAAGTTAGTCAACTTTGGTAAACACCCCAAAGTCTGATGAACTTGGACTTGTATGTGTAATTTCAAGCCATTTGTAAACATTGTGAGGTTGAGAATGATGGTGAAAATATGAAAGGTTGGCGATTAAGGCGCGTCTGGGATCCTCTCAGATGTAGATTCGAACCCTCGTCACGGCCCTTGTGGATTTGTTCGTGAAGGGGGGGGGGGGGGCGGCGTCTTCGCGACGTAATCCAGAAACCAGGGTATGGACCTGGGCTGATGAACACACACGACGTAATTGACAGTTAGGTCAATTATCTGAACACTATTGGTGACGCGAGACCCGTCGCCTGGGTAACTTTGAGGTCGACCTTGTTTGGCGGGAACTTTAAGGTCACGTTAACACACTTTTTCTCGTCCCCAGCTAGTCTGTGGTTGTCTTTGTGGGGTTCTGATCCTGCTCGCTCTCTTGCTTTCTCTCTTGCTCTTCCTCTTGCTCTCTCTCTCTCCTGCTCTTTCTCTCGCTCTCTTGATCTCTCTATTGCTCTCTCTCTTTCGCCCGTTCGTGGTCCACTGTTGTCTACTCTGGGATATTATAGTGGTACTGGAGAGTGGTGACCCGGTACATTCTCTCAATTCGCCACTACGTCAAAATGCAGACGTTTTGGCCGACCAGAAGCGTATGAGCCCAACCAACCCACCTAACCCCACCTACTCAATAGAGGCCGATGCATAATCGTGAACGTTACGGTGTTTTAATTTGACCAATGTCGCGTTTTTAACGGGTTGGAAGAGTCCGTTATAAATGGGATCACGTGGAGAGTTGTCGCTGCTCGTGTGTCTCCTTACACCGTCCTGTGGGCGTTGGTGGAGCCCATAGCCGTCCTGTGGGTGTTGGTGGAGCCCATAGCCGTCCTGTGGGTGTTGGTGGAGCCCATAGCCGTCCTGTGGGTGTTGGTGGAGCCCATAGCCGTCCTGTGGGCGTTGGAGGAGCCCATAGCCGTCCTGTGGGCGTTGGAGGAGCCCATAGCCGTCCTGTGGGCGTTGGAGGAGCCCATAGCCGTCCTGTGGGCGTTGGAGGAGCCCATAGCCGTCCTGTGGGCGGTGGTGGACCCCCATAGCCGTCCTGTGGGTGGTGGTGAACCCCATAACCATCCTGTGGGCGGTGGTGGAGCCCATACCCATCCTGTGGGCGGTGGAGGAGCCCATACCCATCCTGTGGGCGGTGGTGGAGCCCATACCCATCCTGTGGGTGGTGGTGAACCCCATAACCATCCTGTGGGCGGTGGTGGAGAAGGTTTGAGGCACATCAGAGCCAAGAAACAGAGCCCAAAAATTAATTTAACTTTAGTTAATGTATATATCAATAGTCATTTGTAGCACAATTGGTTCCACAACAGCCCCCCTAAGCTGAACAATTAAGAGAGAGCAAGACTTACAAGATTGCTTCAAATGTGTATTATTGTCCAAATCTGTTGTATTTGTAGCAGTGAAGTGTGTGTAATTTAAATTCCAGAACACAAATATGAAATATTTTGCCAAACACCTGAGCGAATCACCGCTTAATGCGCCATTATCTGCTGTTGAAAATTGCTAGGCTGCGTTTTGCAATGGCAGCCGCTCAATGGGAAGTATTTGCTACACAAAATTGAGCAGAAAATTCTGATAGTGACTGAGGAGTGGTGACGTGGATGGCGGAGGTGGAGGAGTGAGGGAGGAATGATGTCGGGTGTTGGAGGGAGGTGGGAGGCAGGAGCCCAGGCGCCTGATGCAGGGAGCTGTTGTGTGCTGCAGTGTGTGCTGGAGGCCAGGCAAGTGACGGACATGTTGCCAGGGAGAGTCAGCTGATGTATGCGATAACTCCTTTATGGGCAACTGTTGCACCAGCTGTTCCTGTCCCCGACGGTGAGTTGCTCCCCCCCCCCTCTGTCCTAATGGTCTCCCCCCCCTCTGTCCTAATGGTCTCCCGCCCCCTCTGTCCTAATGGTCTCCCCCTCCCCCTCTGTCCTAATGGTCTCCCCCCCCCCCTCTGTCCTAATGGTATCACCCCCCCCACTCCCATCCTGACGGTAAGGTACGGTAACCTCCGGGCCGTGACGAGGATTCCAACCTGCGTCCGAGAGCATCCCAGACGCTGCCTTAATGGTAGATCAGTCGATTAAGGCAGCGTCTGGGATGCTCTCGGACGCAGGTTCGAATCCTCGTCACGGCCCTTGTGGATTTATTCATTTACATCACTATATAGAGTTTGCTGACGTTGGGAACTGGTAGAGCTACCCCTACACTGCCTCCGCTTTATAGAAAACGGGATGTTTAGAGCATAGACTATAAATAATCAAACTATCATGACAGCATTAACATTTACTTTGGTAATTAAGGTTAATGAACGTGGATAAATTGTTTATGTAATGTGTATAATAAAGTGTCATTACAGGAACACGCTTGCTAAAGCCACCAACACTATAGTGTCTATCGCTTATTAATCAGGTGTTGCGAATTACTTCTTGGGTGTAAATTAGTGTTGTAATCGTGTAAATAATTTCCTTTCCATAATTCAGTATTTAGGCCTACATAAGTAAATGGTAATTTCACATACGGTAAATTTAGATGGAGATTTTATATAATATATAGTATGGGTTCGAGTCACTTCTGGGGTGAGAGTTTTCAGTTGCATATAGTCCTGGGGACCATTCAGGCTTGTTCGCATATGCAACCCGTTCTCGCACTTTCTTATAGTCAGTATTGACTTATTAAATACGTGCGTATGTGACATACTAATTGATTGTGAATATTTTAGTTTACCTTGAAAAGCTTCATAGAAAACAACGACCTTACCTAACCTTCTAAATATGTTAACATAAGCACCTTATTTCTTCGTAATTACAATTATTACTTAACCTATTATAGGTATAGTTTGCATATAATATATAATTTGGGTATTGTGCAAAGTGTGTAGACGTAAGCAGACTATATATTAGTTCTATTACCGTGGTCGGGAACAGCTAGGAAGCTTTGTCGGTGTGTAGCAGCCTACGACGCTATTCGTTGTACCGACGTAAAACAAACGTTGTGTGCGCAATAACCCCCCCCCCCCACACTGAGAGCTGTGGCAGGTGCCCGTGTTACAGTACCTCTGGACGCTGCTGATTGGTTGTAACGGGTTATAATGAGTGGATTCGTTGGTAGGTTACTTGCACTGCGTTACTGGTAAGGATTTACAGGAAAACATCAATGGTTTCTTGCAGTTTATTTGTAGGAACACACACGAACCTAGAGTAGGTCTTCCTCCTGAGTCAGTCAGGTCCGCCCTCCCATTCTCCCTGACTGAGGGTAGCCCCCTTAACTGCTGCTTTAACCCTGCCTCCAAGCGGATCTTGGTGGCGCTCTTCGCCAAGACGTGAGGGGCCCGGGAGCCCCGCTTCAGGCGGGTGTGTAACGGACCCGTATGTAAAGGCCTTGCATGTTTACCCCGCAGGTGGACGGAGAGGGTGCGGAAGGAGTGGCTGTCAGTGGTCGCCGGCGAGGAGGAGGAGGGAGAGGGGGCCGCCGACCCCCTCAGGACTCCAGGTACCTTCGACGACACCCCGCTCACGGGGACACACTCACGCGAGGAGGTCAGTATGATAACTTTATCCTCTCCCGTCAGTGATGATAACTTTATCCTCTCCCGTCAGCGATAACATCTTTATCCTCGCCACGTCAGCGACCGTCTGCACTACACGGTGTGAATAACACGTGTGATGCTGTAGACATTATGGCTGTTGGTGAGGCTGGAGCTTGGTGGCTAGCGAGATTGGAGGGTATCGTCTGTCATCTCACGGAAACGTGGGGAACATGACCCCCCCCCCCTTACTCACCTGTGAGATGGACCCCAAATTCTGACGGACGGACGGACGGACGGACGGACGGACGGACGGACGCGCGCGCGCACAATCATACATCTCACATCTCTCACACACACACACACACACACACACACACACACACACACACACACACACACACACACAGAGGGACGTTAGAAAGAACTTTTTCAGTGTCAGAGTCGTTAAAGAAATGGAATGCATTAGGCAGTGATGTGATGGAGGCTGACTCCATACACAGTTTCAAGTGTAGATATAACAGAGCCCAGTAAGATCAAGAACCTGTACACCAGTTCATTGACAGTTGAGAGGCGGGACCAAAGATCCAAAGCTCAAAATCCCCCCCCCACCCCCCTCGCAAGCACAACTAAGCGAGTACATACTCTTTTATCGAGATATAATGTATCAATGAACTGACTCGTGAGGCGAGACGTTGCCGGCATCTTATCTATTCTCCCCAAGACGCGGCCAAGATAGACACAGGAGGTCTGTGCTTCCCTCTCAACCCCTAACAACACTTATTCATGAATTCAGATAGTCTCTCAAAGTCCAGTCGTGCAAATATATCTCGAGAGTGATGAGGATTGATTAGTTGGTGCTCGGGCAATTATGAGTTTGATCATCGTTGATGAATACGGTGGCAAAACAATGCCAGGCGAGGGGCGTCAGTGGCAGGGCAAAGGTGGTAAATAACTCATATGGTCGATAATCCTAAAGCTGAACGTCGGCTTCGTCTACCAATATTACATGACACCCCTCCTTCCCCCCACCACACACACACACACACACACACACACACACACACACACACACACACACACACACACACACACACACACACACACACACACACCACCTGCAGGAGACCTGGAGCCAGATTCACAAAGCAGTTACACAAGCACTCACAAACGTGAACATTTTCCCTCAATCTGACAGTTTTGCTTACATTTATTAAAAAAAATTACAAGCATGAAACCTTCCCAATCAACTGTTATTGTTATAATCAGCCTCCTGGTTCTTCGGAGCTCATTAACTGTTCAATAATTGTAAACAAAGCAGCTAAAGATTGAGAAAAGATGTACAGGTTCGTAAGTGCTTGCGTAACTGCTTCGTGAATCTGGCTCCTGGTGGCTCTAGCAGCCTCCTGAAGGCGGCGTTGATGACCCATCAATCCCTGTTTACTTAGTGTCCTGTACTGTGATGAACATGTAGTCATATGCACATGACAGGTGTATATGTATGTATATATGTGAAATGTGTATATCACAATAAATATAAGGAAATTGAAAGGAAATGTGTGTAAACACATTAAAGGTGACGTAAATGGTGTTCAAATAAACATATATATATATATAAATGAATATATAAATTTATTTTAAATGTTGACTTGTAGTTTTATCAAGAGGAATACTTGGAATATAGTTTATTGTAGATGATTGGTACTGTTGATTGGTACTGTTGATTGGTACTGTTGATTGGTACTGTTGATTGGTACTGTTGATTGGTACTGTTGATTGGTACTGTTGATTGGTACTGTTGATTGACACTGTTGATTGGCACTGTTGATTGGCACTGTTGATTGGCACTGTTGATTGGCACTGTTGATTGGCACTGTTGATTGGCACTGTTGATTGGCACTGTTGATTGGCACTGTTGATTGGCACTGTTGATTGGCACTGTTGATTGGCACTGTTGATTGGCACTGTTGATTGGCACTGTTGATTGGCACTGTTGATTGGCACTGTTGATTGGCACTGTTGATTGGCACTGTTGATTGGCACTGTTGATTGGCACTGTTGATTGGCACTGTTCATTGTTACTGTTCATTGGTACTGTTGATTGGTACTGTTGATTGTATACGTTGTTCCAGATCGAGTCTCTAATACGCACGAGATGCGACCATCATTGTCAGCCGTCTGTGGACGATTTTACCCGGGTAAGTGCACTCCTGGCACACTCTGGCACACTCTGGCACGCTCTGGCACACTCTGGCACACTTTGGCACACACTTTGGCACACACTGGCACACACTGGCACACACTGGCACACACTGGCACACTCTGGCACACTTTGGCACACTCTGGCACACTCTGGCACACACTGGCACACTCTGGCACACTCTGGCACACTCTTGTACACTCTGGCACACTCTGGCACACTGGCACACTCTTGCAAACTTTTGTACACTGGCACTCTCTGGCACACTCTGGCACACACTGACACTCTCTGGCACACTCTGGCACTCTCTGGCACACACTGGCACTCTCTGGCACACTGGCACTCTCTGGCACACTCTTGCCTCTCCTGGCTCCGCACACTTGTGTACTGGTCCTTGCGAAACCATGTTAAGTCTTGATTAATGAGATTTCACTCTGGCAGTGAGCGTGTGTGATCTTTGAGTGACAGATCCTATTGGCTCACCTCTGGTGTTCCGTTCCTGAACCCCTTATGTGCCTCTGCAACCCTTTCCACCACCCACGGGATGGGTATGGGGTTCACAATAAAGACACTGAATCACGTCACCGAATGTGATCTTTGAGCGGTAGGACCCCGCGAGGAACCTGTGTAGAGGTTGCCGGTGTAGGAAGGTGCCAAAGGTTCAGGCAGTAACAGTAATATAGTGAGCCCAGACGAGCGGGTCGCCATGACGACAGGCCAAGGTGCTGCGAATCTTAAAATTTCTAACTAACTTTTAAGATGGGAAATGACTCGTGTCTCAGACTTCTCATAATGTGTCAGCTTGGACAAGTTAGCGAGCGCTTGAAAGTATCTTGTGAGAAGTTATGATATACACCTGTCCAATACATGTATATAGAAAGGAAGCCAAATATGTTGACCAGACCACACACTAGAAGGTGAAGGGACGACGACGTTTGGGTCCGTCCTGGACCATTCTCAAGTCGATTGAAAAGAAATAGCTTGAAAAATAACATATAGGAGCAGCCCGTATATGAGAGTGAGCGTTGTTGTCGTGTTTAGACTCAGCTATTGGGAACACAGACCTCCATAGTCTGTCCATATGTGATGTAATGGGCGCATCCGATCCCACGATCGCCGCCCCGCCCCTAAATCAACCCAAGACTTCAGTAGCACGGGCTATGGTGAGCCCGTAGTGGACCTACCTGGCACGGGAGCAAGACGTGTACAGACTCGACCGATCTGTAAGAAACTGAGACGTATTAGGACAAAATTAATGCAGCGTGATATTGAGGTTTTCTTTACATGTGCCTCGGGAGGTTGCTTGGATTCATGTTTCAGGTTAGGCAAGGAAGGAAGGAATTATCAAGGAAAAGCGCCAAGCCATTACGACTATATAGCAGTGGGAAGGGGTCAGGATAAGGATTTGGGATGGGACGGGGGGAAAAAGAATGGTGCCCAACCACTTGGACGGTCGGGGATTGAACGCCGATCTGCATGAAGCGAGACCGTTGCTCTACCGTCCAGACCAAGTGGTTGGGTATCAGGTTAGGCAAAACAATTGTATTTTTACGTTACTAGGTTAGGCAGAGTTTAATGCTTTATAGTGGTAGATGGTGGGGGAAGCGGGGGTGGTATGAGTGTGTGCCTTGGGGGAGGCGAGGAGTAGTGTGGCGCCAGGTGTGGCACCCGTAGACACCCGTGCCACCGGCCCGCTGCTCAGGCTTAACCCAGGCACCGCCGTGGAGCAGCCGGTCACAGGCACCCACGCTGCTCAGGCCCAGGCAGCAGCAGCAGCAACTGCGGCACAAGTCAGCCTGGCTGGCACTCAGCCATCAGTAGTGGTGCACTGGCGAGTGCACGATGCAGTGCTCCTGCTGGGCTCGGCTCATCCTTGTGCTCCGTGCCCTCCTCCGAGGTGTTGGTGCCGCCCTCTCACGTCGCAGGTCCGCCGCCGCCAAGGTACTGTCCCACTTCTCCACCACTGACACGCCCTTCAACCCGTGCAAGTGGAGGCCGTAACCTCAATATTCACTATTTGATAATCATCAATTTGATAGTACATACAACATTCACCTTTAATTGTACGTGATTGGCAGTACATACAACATTCACCTTTAATTGTACGTGATTGGCAGTACATACAACATTCACCTTTAATTGTACGTGATTGGCTTATTATTCTTAAAGATGGCTTGGGTTTCTGTAACAATGTAGCTTAGCTCGATTGTTAACTTTCTTTACTCTCTAACATCGTGGTGGTTCTGTGCGTGTCACCAGACACGAGTGGTGTTGAGCGTGTACAGTGTTGTACAGTTGTACACTGTACAACATTCCAACCGGACTAGTATAACTGGCCGGTCTACTACTAGTCTCGTAGACCGAGCTACGTTCTCTGGGGTTGACGAATGTGGTTGTGCTTGCGTCACCAGAGGTCTTAATTGGTGTGTCGTCGACTGGAACCACATTGTCACCATCGAGGATGGTGTCCCCCAGCCGTCTAGGATGGGTGTCCCCCAGCCGTCTTGGATGGGTGTCCCCTAGCCGTCTAGGATAGTGTCCCCCAGCCGTCTTGGATGGGTGTCCCCTAGCCGTCTAGGATGGTGTCCCCCAGCCGTCTAGGATGGTGTCCCAGCCGTCTAGGATGGGTGTCCCAGCCGTCTTGGATGGTGTCCCAGCCGTCTAGGATGGTGTCCCCCAGCCGTCTAGGATGGTGTCCCCCAGCCGTCTTGGATGGGTGTCCCCCAGCCGTCTAGGATGGGTGGACTTTGGGAGAAGGCGATGATAGACTACATTAAGACACTGGGGGTATGATGATATTTACAGGATATTTGTCATTTAAGACAAAAACTAAGTACATGGTGGTGTGGGTATGTGGGCCTGCGGGCCGCTCCAAGCAACAGCCTGGTGGACCAAACTCTCACAAGTCGAGCCTGGCCTCGGGCCGGGCTTGGGGAGTAGAAGAACTCCCAGAACCCCATCAACCAGGTATCAACCAGGTATGGTAGTCTGGAAGACTATTAACTCCTCGGGTCTAAGACTTAACCGTTCCTGACAATGTCTCGAGTGAGAGAGACGTATTAAAACGTCTTAATTATCAAGCTGGTGGACGGTGTCGAAAATTGAAATATTCTTTCCTATATGATTAGCACGTTTAAATCTTGATGAAAAATATTCTTTAGATTCGTTTACATGTATAAAATGTGTGTTATGAAGAATATATTAGTGTACTTATCGAAGTTACGTATATTAATGTAACTGTTAAAGCATATATATCAATATCGAGGTTGTAGAGTCATCAGGACTTTGTCCAACAAGGTCTAGGCAGTTTTGAGTTAATTTCAGAGAGTACCCTGAATGTCCTATGGGATACGAACCCAGCCCCTAGCTATGGGATACGAACCCAGCCCCTAGCTATGGGATACGAACCCAGCCCCTAGCTATGGGATACGAACCCAGCCCCTAGCTATGGGATACGAACCCAGCCCCTAGCTATGGGATACGAACCCAGCCCCTAGCTATGGGATACGAACCCAGCCCCTAGCTATGGGACACGAACCCAGCCCCTAGCTATGGGACACGAACCCAGCCCCTAGCTATGGGACACGAACCCAGCCCCTAGCTATGGGACACGAACCCAGCCCCTAGCTATGGGACACGAACCCAGCCCCTAGCTATGACCCATAGCCAATAATTTCGTCCATACACTGTAAACCGATTGAAAACAGTGGCGTGTAAAGCTGTGTTGGATATCGTTGAATAACGCGGGAGTGGCTAATGTTCAGTCCTGCCTCCCCCCGACCACCATTAGGCGACGGGGCCTGCTAATGCCTCTTAATTGTCGCAAGGTTAATTATGGGGAAATTGGGCTGGGTTTTCCATGGTGGCGGCTTGGGGATTACAACATTACTGTAGGTGGCATAGTGTATGAGCGCGCATGCGTGCACGCACAGTGAGAGAGGATGGGAGGGGGGGGTTGATGGAAGAGCGAAGGGAAGGGTTGAGGACTCCTACCCTTAACACTCCTGCCCTTAACACTCCTGCCCTTAACACTTCTACCCTTAACACTCCTGCCCTTAACACTCCTGCCCTTAACACTCCTACCCTTAACACTCCTACCCTTAACACTCCTACCCTTAACACTCCTACCCTTAACACTCCTACCCTTAACACTCCTACCCTTAACACTCCTACCCTTAACACTCCTACCCTTAACACTCCTACCCTTAACACTCCTACCCTTAACACTCCTACCCTTAACACTCCTACCCTTAACACTCCTACCCTTAACACTCCTACCCTTAACACTCCTACCCTTAACACTCCTACCCTTAACACTCCTACCCTTAACACTCCTACCCTTAACACTCCTACCCTTAACACTCCTACCCTTAACACTCCTACCCTTAACACTCCTACCCTTAACACTCCTACCCTTATCACATATCCATGGACTTGGTTACCAGGGAGTCGGATAAGGATACAGGAGATCTTGAATAAGATTTGAGTGAATAAGATAAAGATGTGCTAGTGCAGGGTTGTGGCCCAACCGCTTTGGATAGTTGGTGATGCAGTTAAAGAATACAGTGACTGTATATATATATATATATACATGTATAAAGATTGGAAAGGGGTGAATAATGAATAGATATGCATCTTATGTATAAATTTTGCATAAGTATTAGATGCTATTTTTGCAGTAAATCGAATTATTGATTTTATTCACATTTTATTTTCATAAAAGTTGTGTTCTTGCCTATCAACACTTACCTATCTGTGACTACAAGCTGGTGAGATCTAGCTCCTTAACCCCTCCTTCCCTAGCTACTAGCATTGTTGGAGCAGGTATAGGACTCAACTATTCTGATTCTTGGTGGAGTTGGGACTTAAAGTTGTGAGTGGAGGCGACTTACAGAACGATGAAGCATTGCGGTGCGTGTGTGTGCGCGTGTGTGCGTGCAATTGAGCATATTTATGTTGCAGGAGTATGTCAACCCGGAGAACTTGGCTGCCGAGTTGGAGCGGGAGCTGTTGGCCTTGAAGCTGCACGTTGCTCGCTCTCATGCACTCCTTCACCACTACCAGGTAGGTTGCTACTACCACTACCAGGTGTGTGGCTCCTCCACCTCCACCACCAGGTGTGTGGCTGCTCCACCTCCACCACCAGGTGTGTGGCTCCTCCACCTCCACCACCAGGTGTGTGGCTCCTCCTCCCTCCACCACCAGGTGTGTGGCTCCTCCACCACCAGGTGTGTGGCTCCTCCACCACCAGGTGTGTGGCTCCTCCACCACCAGGTGTGTGGCTCCTCCACCACCAGGTGTGGTGGAGGGACAGTCCTCTCCCTCTCAAAGTCCAGTAATTTAATTTGCCTTATTGTACATCAACAAATTATCTTATAAATTAACTTCCCGCCAGTCTAAGTGTATCAGCTGTCTCTTTTAACTACAATTAATATATAGTTTGTGTATCGTAAAATTTACAAGTAAATGACTGAGTGACTCGTTGGAACCCGTCTTCACGCTGTGTTTGTCAAAGTAGTTTTAAATAAATGTTAAAGTACTATAAATCAATATATAGTATAGGTTGAGAAGTGGTGGAAGAGGAGGCCAGGGATACAGTTCTGCAAATTGCTGGAATAACCAGTTTAATGGATGGTTTTACCTCCTACAGAGCTCCAGTCTTTATGGGAGTCGCAGCGAGGTGTCGACGCCGCCCGTCGCCGCTCCCACACACTCACAAGGTAAGTGGCGTACGACCCGACGCGCGCCTCTCATCTCAAATATGACCTGTCGGTCACAAAAGCTTCGCGCCATGTTGCAGAGGCTACGATAAAGCCAGCACCAAACGTTCATTAGGTCTGGTATACGTACATGTAATGAGTAGGCCTCAAATATATGCACAGGCGGAAATAGACTTGTTTCTGTTGGAGTAACGTGAGCCCCACTGACTATGTAGGGTTGTCAAGGGTGTGTGTGTGTTGGGGGGGGGAGGGGCTGGATAAGAACAGTGTGTGGAGTTGGGACCTTCAAAATCCAGCACAGTGGCTCTTAAAGCGGACCACATGAGAGCAACAGACAATACTAACCTGTCGCGTCGTGTACCTGTCACTGCCCTGGGGAGTGGCCAGTGCCGGCCCCAGGTGGGGGGAGCGGACAGTGCCGGGCTCCAGGGAAGAGAGCGGACAGCGCCGGACCATACATAAATAATTCTAATAAAGCAATGTGTGCCAATATCGTCTTTTAAACTATAATCTCCCTAATATTAGGGGCGTGTAGAGACAAGTCGGCCAGACTAACAGCTGTCAAATACGAGGAACTAACAATTAAGACGAGGTCCTCTTACCGGGTCAGTCAACCCACCCGCGCCACACTCGGCCCGGCCTCCTAACACCTCCCATTTGTTTACGGAGTCGCCTGACTTCCAGGACGAGCGTGTCTTGCTTTCCGACCGCCCCTCGCGGTCACCTGTCCCTCAATAGAATTCTTGGTGACTCGGATACTTTTGATATCGTTCGCCTTGTGCGTTTTTGTTCTCGCATTGGCATCCTTGGTGATATTTAGCACCCTCTGATTATTCTGCGCATTTGATGATGCTACATAGCCTTCCCGGCTTGGTGCCTTCTTTGATAATTACTTACGGACGGAACCAACTAATTCGTTAAAAAAATCGACGTACAAGTACAAAGTAAAGCACCGTAATAATGACGTTTTTTTGTGCATCTTCTGCCTGGATAGGTTGTGGGCGTTGCTTGAGGCTAGTACGTGTCTGGTTAGTTAAATCCATTACGTATTACACACAGAAACCACAATAGCGTGATGTATCAAATGAACACATCCACAAGGGCCGTGACGAGGATTCGAACCTATGACGAGGAATCGACGTAGGTTCGAACCCTCGTCACGGCCCTTGTGGATTTGATCATTAGGTATGTTTACGTCTCTGATTAGGAAAACGGTTGTATTTTTGCACGGAGTTTGGTGGGTGACTGAAGGGAGCCGGTCGGCCGAGCGGACAGCACGCTGGACTTGTGGTCCTTGGTTCGATCCCAGGCGCCGGCCAGAAACAATGGGCAGAGTTTCTTTCACCCTATGCCCCTGTTACCTAGCAGTAAAATAGGTACCTGGGTGTTAGTCAGCTGTCACGGGCTGCTTCCTGGGGGTGGAGGCCTGGTCGAGGACCGGGCCGCGGGGACACTAAAAAAAAAAAAAAAGCCCCGAAATCATCTCAAGATAACCTCAAGAACCTCGAGATAAGATTGATTGATTGATGAAGATTAAGCCACCCAAGAGGTGGCACGGGCATGAATAGCCCGTAAGTGGTGGCCCTTTTGAGCCATTACCAGTATCAAAAGATGATACTGGAGATCTGTGGAGGCGCAACTGCACCCTGCGTGACGGGAGATGTCTCCCGGACCAAATGGTGACCAAATGGTGCTCGAGATAACCCCCCCCCCCCACCTCGCTCTCTTCCCCTTCTCTTTGTCCCCGTCATTTCCTTTCCGTCTCTCATTTCCCCTCCCACCCCTCCCGATGGTTTCTCCCCCCCCTACCCCCCCCCCTTCCTCCCTTGCACTCTTTTTCCTTCCTCTGTCTCAAGTTTCCTGTTGAGGAAATTGGTGTTAAAAGATGTTGACGCTGCGGGTGCGGCGAGCCTGGGTAGCTGGCCGCTGCCTCACTCCACCTCTCACGGTTACCATTGTTGGTGTTGTTGTGTGATGTTTCAAGTAATGACCGCAAGATGGCACCAGCTGCGAGTAGGCCTAGGTGTTGGCCCCGTGGCTAGCGGGGCTGGCACTGTTCTTTGCGGGGTTTTGTCACTCCGTAAAAAAATTACAACAAAAATCGTAACTGTTTTTCCTAATGAGAAACGTAAGCATCCAGGTAGTGCAGGCGATGAGTCACAATAACGTGGCTGAAGTATGTTGACCAGACCACATAGTAGAAAGTGAAGGGACGATGACGTTTCGGTCCGTCCTGGACCATTCTCAAGGCGATTGTGAGATCGACAATCGACTTGGGAATGGTCCAGGACGGACCGAAACGTCGTCGTCCCTTCATTTTTCTAGTGTGTGATCTGGTCATCATCCAAGTATTCTAGCTGACTAGTCGAGTCCGAGACGTGGGAAAACGTCAGTATTATGGTGCTTTAATATTTGCTTTACTAATTCGCGTTTTTACCTGGTCGATTCAGAGAAGATGCGACATACCAGGTGATAAATGACAGGAAATGGAAAGTGGTATAAAGTATAAAGATGATGAACTCAGTCAACACAAATGTGTGTGGGAGAGGATGAGGGGGGGGGGATGGATAGGAAGTGAGGGGGGAGAGTAAGATGATGCACTAAACTACCTATCCCCCCCATCCCCCCTTCCCCCCCCCCTTCGTCGCTAGGCAACAACCTAATTGGCTCCCTCCAGGATGCTTCAGCTCCTTCCCTCCCTCGGCCTATATGGCCAGTCCAGATAAGGGTGTGTTGAGGGGAGGGAGGTGGGGGTGGGGGTGGAGGTTCCATCAGGACTGGTCAGCACACTTGGTGGCTCAGTGGCCAGTGTTCTTGAAGGTTGATCGTGTCGTGTTTTGTCGCCATTTCCACTACTACTATGACATTACCGGTGGTCGGGGGGGGGGGGGGGGTGTCCCCGAGACTCTTACGTAATTTTTTTTTTTTTAATTTTGCCCCGAGGGGCGAGTTTATTGGGCAGCGTCACTCATCTTGCGAGTGGACACACTGCTATAGCAGCATGTACAACACTCCCCAATAGGAAGAAAACCCGCTGGGTTGTTCATCCTGTCACGAGACTGTTATTGTGCACCTCTGTCACCTTCACAACCTGTCGCAGGATACGTGTGGGGGAGCATAATTAACTGAGAGATTTGTATTATGCCTTTATTAACTGTATAGAAAGGAACTTGTGAGATGGTGGTAATTTAGTCTGACCTCGGCCGAGTATTGATAGTTATAGTTTTTCTAGCTCTCAATTATCCCCCAAGCTGTTTAGCGTTTTTTTAACGTTTTCTCTCCGACATTAATAGTCTTACTCACGTTCCTCTTTAGTCATGTGTAACTATTATTATTTTGGGCCTGCACATGTGTGCAGTTTTCCCTCCGGTGTAACCAACTATACGCGGGTGTGTACCCGCGTGTAGTTGGTTACTTGTAGTTGCCTATAATTGCAACCTTTTTGACCCCAATAGGTTGCACGATCTAAGTATTGGGAGCAAATCGATCATATTATTAACAGCTGAAAAACTGGAAAAAGGTCGAAGGGGGAGGGCAAGGCACATGATAGCAATGGAGTCGACCCTAGCTCACCCTATGACAGTCCCCCTCCACCCACCAGTCACCGGACAAAGCTGGGTGAAGCTAGCCCACCGCGCCTGCCCTCCGTCCTGGGACACACCATAACACACATCCCTGGTGGGGCCCCAGACTTGCCCCAGCCGTGTACCTCGCTCTCCTCAAATATATACATTGTCTTCCCGCAGTAAACACACGCTTCCTGTAGTAAATATTATCTTCCTGTAATTATAAACATCCGCAACTTGATTCTCGGCTATCATGTCGCATATCGTGTGCGCGCGCGCGCGTGTAGGAGGGGGGAAGAGTCGTAGCTCAGTCGACTAAGGCAGTGTCTGGGATGCTCCCGGACGCAGGTTCGAATCCTCGTCACGGCCCTTGTGGATTTGTTCGAGAGGGGGGAGAGTTGGTTTGTGGGGGGGAGGGGTCATTTTCCCCCTCGGGAAAATGACACCAACTAGATAGGTCTTGGATGAGTGAGAGGTATTTAGTGGGTAGTGGGACGTGGAGGGTGGAGGAGTGTCTTGTGCTTCACCCCTGGTTTTCTCCTACCTCTTGCCTAATTAGCTTAACCTTGCAATATGGTCGTGGCTTCGAGACCAGTAGACCAGTTATGGTCCCCGTTGTTCAGTGGTTAAAGCACTCGTCCCGGCGCTTCGCAAGCGCTTTGGCCTGGGTTCGTATCCTGGCCAGGAAGGATTTACTGGCCACCAATCCTAAACTGTAGCCTCCCTTCACCCAGCAGTGAATGGGTACCTGGGTGTTAAACGACTTGGCGGGTCGTATTCCGGGGATAATTAGGATTAAGGACCTGCTCGATACGCTATGCGTGCTAGTTGCTGTACAAGAACGTAAGAACTAATATATATATATATATATATATATATATATATATATATATATATATATATATATATATATAAAATATATAATATATATATAATAAATATATATATATATATATATATATATATATATATATATATATATATATGTATATGTATATGTACATAAAGCTGGAGAAAGCAGAGAGCCAATTATGGTGACCAGAGACTGGGGGGGGGGGGGGAGAACAGGAGAGCGATAATTGCGATAATCTTGACTATAAAGCAGTGAACGTTATAGATTTACTTGATAATTCATGGTCCCTGGTAGCGTCGGCAGGCAGCGGGCTGGTGCCACCACTGATCAATAAACGCTTCCCCCCTCCCTCCCCATCCCCATCTCTTCCCTACCTTCCCTATCCCTTCCCTACCTTCCCCTATCCCTTCCCCTATCCCTTCCCCTATCCCTTCCCCTATCCCTTCCCCTATCCCTTCCCCTATCCCTTCCCCTATCCCTTCCCCTATCCCTTCCCCTATCCCTTCCCATATCCCTTCCCTACACCCCCACCGCCCTACCTCCTCATCTCTTCTTCCATGCATGACCCTCGTGAAAGTCAT